GGAGGGGGGGTGGGGAACAAAAAAGAAAATTCAAGTTTTGCAAAGTATTAGTGAAGACATAAATCTCTGATTAAATATTTTCCTTGCAGAAGACAATTACTTTTCCTAGCACATGAATAAAACACGTCTTCAAATATATCTTTTTGAAATCTGTCTGAAAACCAGTTATCATCAATTCTATGGCTTCTGGTAACGTTTTTTTGTGAATGTGATGGATAAAATACATGTTCAGTGAAGGAGAAGCTGGATGACCTGCAGTGAGCGCTCAAAACATTAGCTTTCATAACTGAATTCTAGAATCTCCTGGAATAAATGCATTGTTAATTATTTCTTCAAAGTCAGGTCAAATTCAACAGTAAGAATGGTTCATGTCTCTCATTCTTAGCACTTACCAGGATTCACAGCCAAGGAAACAAAAGCTTTCTCTGAGGGCATTTGTGGGTTTGATCTCCTAAGACTGGTAACAACCAGATGAGAGATCTTGCTGCTAAGCCATTGTGCCAAATATGAGATCCATTACTAGTGTTATTTTGAAAAGGAAAGCAGTTTTGTTCAGTTTGTAATTAAAAAATACCATTTAGATTGCTTAGGCTCATGTTGAGAGCATTTAATTTGTACTTGCCATTCACATTGTCTATGGCTTTGATTGCAAGAGTATTTGAAATCTTGGGATTGAGTGTGTTTTCAATTCTAATTTAGAAAATTGCTTCCGACATATTGCATTTCTGAATAAAAGTAAAGGCTCCTGATTAACCTAGTGATGTTTATTTTGTTTATTAAAGGAAAATTAATGAATTACAAGTTAATGATGAAGTGGAAACAGAGGAGAGCTACAGAAATGATTGGAGGGCTGGAGTACCTCTGGTATGAGTAAAGACTCAGAGTTGGGGTTGTTCACCTGCAGAACAGACGGCTCCATGGAGACCTTATAGCACCTAAAGAGAGCCTGCATGAGAGCTGGAAAAGAACTTTTTACCAGGGCATGTAGTGGCAGGACAAGGGGGAATGGCTTGAAGTTGAAAGTAGGTTTAGAATAGATCCTGGGAAGAAATTCTTTACTGTGGTGACAACAAGGCACTGGAACAGGTTGCCCAGAAGAGTTGTGAATGCCCCATCCCTGGAGTGTTCAATACTTGTCTGGATGTGGCTCTGTGCAACCTGATCCAGTGGAAGAAATCTCTGTCCATAGCAGGGGGGTTGGAACTAGATGATCTTTATGGTCCTTTAAACCTAAATCATTCTGTGATTCTATAAAAGAAAAAATAGAAGACTGACAGCTTATTGAAAAAAAAAAAGTGGGTTGACTAATAACTAATTACCAGCTAATTATTTTTGAAATGTGGAATATCAATATTATAAAGTAAGTCCTTCATAAGTATATATAATAATTTAGGATTAGCATGTATTTGCTTTTTTTTTTTTAATGACAGCTTTAATTTTCCTTTTCAAGTTGAGCATGTATGACACTTTTAGTTTATTTTATTGCAGATATGTATGTAAAAAACCAGAGATTTAGGAGTATATTAAGGAACAAAGAAACAAAGGCTTTCTTGGAGAAAAATATGTTTTTCTGAATTATGTAGAAGCATATACCAGAAGATTTATTTGACAATATACCTTACCTCTGTATTGGGTGATTTTCCAAAGCTGGACTCGAATTTATCCAGATTTATGAACCAGGAAAATCAATTGCATTGACATTTTGTGTAGATTTAAAAAATAATTTATCCTTCTGAAATAGCCATGTTAGGTTTGTATGTACTCATCCAGTAGCTAGCTCAGTCTTTGTCAGTGTAAGCATTCTTGAAATTTAATTCTCGCCTTCCAGGTTTAACTAAACCCCCGAAATGCAATCAGATGATAAGCACAGGATTCATGAGATTGACAATAAAATGCTCATCTTTGTCTCACTTTCTACTCATGTATTTCTTAGTGTGCCTACTGAGACAATCTAGGGAGTTTTTTAGAGGAAAAAAACGCCATAGATTCTCTTAATCTAAATGTATGCATATAGTGTAAATCATACAGACTCCTGTGTGATGCACTAGAAGCCCAGAGCTAACATTGAATTCATATGGACTGGAGGAACTTTTCTGCTTGTTGTCTAAGGCCAGGCAAAATATATTTATAGGAAATAACCAGAGGCAGTCTGGAAGATGTCTACAATAGTAATACAATCAGAATTAGAAAACTTAGAAAAACCTCCAAACACCCAAACCCCTCCTACTTAAGAAACAAATTAATTTCTCATTGTATTAGGATTCTTAATTTTGTGTCTCTTCTATTGACTACAGATCATCCAGGACAGACTGGAGAATACATTCACCCCAAACTGATTAACCCAGTAGATTTTGTATTTGTATCACGCATGAACTGGACAGGTAGATATGGAAGGTATGAAAATCCTTGGAAACTTGCTGTAGTATTCAGCTGTCTGCAAATTTCTCAGGGGGAGTTCTCCATATCATGAAGGAACAAAAAATATTGAAGCTGAGATCTGTTGAGATGCCTCTCTAAGAGAGCAGTGCTGCTCTTGAGGTACCTGGGTTTGATACTGACATTGGTAGTCAAGCAGAAGGCTTGCTTGGTGTGAGGCAATTTGAACAAGTAAGGAGAATAAATTATTCCCTTAGGTAATGTAGAATCCAAGTAGGGCTCATTTCAGTGAAAGGAGCCAGGAAAAAGAACAAAGGATATTTGTTGAGACAGAAAAACAGATGCAATTATCTATTTTTTTACATAATTGTCATGTCAGATTTATAATTTTATACATTCCCTTTTGACAAGAAGTTGCAATGACTAGCCATATTATTTTCTTACAGTGCTCGGAAGTAAACTGCCAGTTTCAGGACAGATCTCCTTGTCACAACTGCCTGGAAAAGAAACACATTACTAACTACAATACAAATGCATACTACCAAAAGATTTTAAATTTTTATGTGCATAAGATGCAATCCAATTTCTTTTCACAATATAATGGCCATAGATTTAAATGTTTTGGCAGTTATAAGACGGATTTTTTTGTTCTGTATAGTCCACAAGATCTCTCTTACAGAGAAATAATAATAAAAAAAGGGTTTAAAGATCTCAAGAGAGGTTTGAGAACCTTTTTTCTATAAAATTTAAAATTTTCAACAAATAAATGTTTGTATATTGCCTGACCAAACTGGTAAAAAATAAATTGCTTTACTCGTTTTGTGATTTCCCCAGATATTCTGTGTCTCTAGTGAAGAGCTGAAGTGTCTGTTTTGCTGGGGAGTGGCACCAGTTGTGACCCAGTTGATTGTATGCACTCTGTACATTCTCAGGTGGCCTCACTCTATTGATTTGCTGTTTGAGAAGTCCAGACACTAATGCTCCTAATGATCAGCCATTCTTTTTGGCTTTTAGTAACAAGTATTCTCATGCAGTTAATATCAAACAGAACTTTGTGCTCTACATCTGTTATTTCAAAATTCCCATTTTTGAACTCCCCTAGTCTCAAGTAAGTCGTACATTGTCTTCCTTTTTTACTGCCTACAATCTTTTCACCTACTTCCAGGGCCCCATGATGTAAAATGTCATTCTGCCGATCTTCAGTTCCAGTGACAACTTTAATTTTACTGATTTTAATGGGCTTTTCAAATACAATCCCATAGAAGTCTCCAGTAGAAGGAGCTTTGCCCCAGAAGTACTCATCAATGCTGCTGTAAGCCTTGCTTGCCTCATAGTTTTCAAATACATTCATATTGGTGTGCAAGTTTGCAGGTGGGTTGTCAGGGATATCAAAGGATTCCTCTTCAAAATCATCATCCTTTAACTTATTTTCTGCTCCTTTGTAAGAAGAGTAGTATCCCATGTGCTGGAAGAGAGATGGCTTAAAACGTATCACTTCCTTTTGAGCTAACAGCCCACGAAAGTGGATGAGCAACCAATCGCAAGGCATTTCTTGGTAAAACATCAATAGAAAATGGGCCAGGCGTGGTAGGTCATGGGAATGGTAAAGCTTTCCAATGTACCCCAGCTTGGAGAATTCCAGTGTCACCCAGTAGGATCCTTCTCGTGAGGTAATTACTTTCTTAACAGCAGTCAAAAAATTCTTTGAGCAGCGAACATCATCTTCCAGCATCACATAATAGTCAGAAAGATTAGCACAAAAGTTTAGAAGGAAAGCATAATCTACATTTTGTTTTGATCGAAACTTCACGCGGTCCTCGGGGTCATTGTAATTTCTCTTAAGGCCATCCAGTACAGGATAGTAATCCTCAGGGACATGAATAACTATTAATCTGCCTGCAATTATGTGATGTGCAAATTTCTGTGAAATATCCTGGACCATCCCTTCGCACCAGGCTGAGTCAAAATCTGCCAGCTGTACTACCACTGCAATTTCTTTGAGTTCATCATAGCTTGACTGCTCAAAAATGGACTTGATGGTCTCGAGCAAGTAGTTTCCCTTTTTCCGTTTTACAGATGATAGTCCAATTGTAAGATACCCTGTACAAAACACAATTCAAACAAAAACTTGAGTATCTGATATTGGAAGCAATTTTATCACAAAGAAATTCTCCAGAGCTGTGTTTATATTAAATAAACCTCACAAACGGTGAAGACTGAGAAATTTGGTATGTGAGTTTATTAAGATGAAAGTGACAAAGGACCTTTATTGACTTTTCATTAAGAGGTATGATACTGCAAGCAAATAGACATATGGAAACTATTGTGTTAAACATTCACTTGTTTACTGCCAGGAGTGGCATGCTGGGGACAAATGCCAAAGCAGTGTGTATGTTTATGCCTTGTAGACAAAACCACATATACAATGATAAGACTGCAAATCTGCCGAAAGAAAGGGGATTATGAGGGGATTATTCACACCATATTTTGAAAGCAAGGAACTACCAAATGCAGCATTTCTATCATTTTAAGCCCTCTAAAAGTCTAGTTACATCTATGCATAACTTTACAGTTTTATGAATTTTGCATGGATAATGATTTCTCAGTGTGTTCATTTTTAGGTGAATTTGTCTAGTTTTTCCTTGCCAGTATTTTTTCTTCTAACCCTCTTTCAGGACTCATCAAGCATTTTACAGGGAACAACCTGCAATTTAGACATTATTTTAAAGTAGAAGATAACTTCTCCCCTTGCTTGCACAAATAATTTTTAATGCTGTTAAATTCTTTCTGGACAGAGATATATCTTATACAACAAGAAATTTCATTTCTGCAGTTTTTTTAGTCATTGCCATTGCATTTTTACCAGCATTCTAAATCAGGACTTTTTTTCAGATATTTGCAAATATATCTCTATTTTTGGTAAATTCTGATGTAAAAAATGTTAAGACTTTGTAATTGACAGGGTGTATCTAAGTTGAACTTACCCCAACTTTCTTAAAATGTAGTCATTTGTAAAAAACTGTTCTGTTAGTAATTCAGGGTTTCCCTTGAGGCTTAAGTCTGCTCAAAATGAAGTGGTACAGTGAAGCACAACCCCCAGAAGTCCTTTACACTGCATACAGAGCCCCAAATGTTTCAAATCTAATTTGAGCAGACTTTATAGCTTTCTGAAACTCATGTATTATTTTATCTTACCTCCTGGGCTTGGACTTCAGAGCTTTGTTTATGTATGTGAAATGGCTGATTTGGAACCCAAAGGACACCTGCCTAAAGTCTAGGTATCGCCATATTTCACTTTTAGAGGAAAGTCTTGAACCATGCACGAAATAAGAATAATTAAATAGTCCATCTGCAAATGGCTGTGAGAAGAATCCTCCTTTACTGTCCCAATACTAGAATAATTCAGCTCCCTTTTTAGCACAACTAAAGGAGCAAGGAGGTCCATTTGCAGCTGCTGGGCCAGCAGGATAGCAGATCTGAGGGGTGCATCTATGTGATGCCAAGTATACATAAGATTGGATTTACCCCTTATATAGAGATTGACAGTACGGTCTCAGAGGGTGGTTGCAGAACACCACCAGCATGTGCTTCTGCTTTTTAAATCATCTTCCTCTTGCCTGGGAGGAGATCCATGGAATTATGCTCCCACAGACCACCCGGGGCTGGCGGCAGGACATCTACAAGTCAGGCAGTTGGTCAGAAGGCAATGAGGCTGCAGAGAAATCACTGCTAGGTCTGGACTAGAGGCCACTCAAGAATGGCCATGAACTCTCTTGGGACTGTCGCTGCTTAACTCAGTCTCTCTTTCATAGAAATACCACAGGAACTATATGGATTTCATGCCTTTTTAAACTACCTCATTTTGCAATATTCTAATTGCAGTTACTTACTTTTCCTTGGCAAAGGTGTGCCAGCTAGGTAGCGATAGGAAATGTTTATAGATCCTGAGAAATTAGACAAATCTTTAAAACTGTGAACATAACGCTCTGGGTTGAGCTGGTGCGTGGCTGTTTCTCTGATTAACTGCTTGTCCCCTTCCTATTAGCAGGAAAACAAAAATAACAAAAAAGGGAGAGAGAGAAACACATTTGTGAATTCCAGTTAGAGAGGAAACATGGACAGGCAGGTTTCCTAGAATAACATTTTTCAGTTTCAGCTTTCATGAAAGCATGTAGATGTCACCTCATTTGAAACAAAAGCAAACAAGCAAACACCCCCCCCAAACGAACAAACATTACTGAATATCATACATTCTGGCTACAGAAAACCTACCATAAACCTTCAGATTACAGTAAAAGGAAAAGAAAAAAAAATCACTTTGCATAAAACTCTGGAAAGGTAGCAAATATTAAATTATTGGCCAAAAAATGCTGTGTTATTCAAAAGAGGGATAAGAAAATATCACTCAGCAACAGATAAGATAATTTTCACAGATTTGGAAACACAGAAGACTTTAAAAAATGTTTCTAGTGATTAAAAAATCTACCAAAACTGCTGCAAAGGAAAGACAAATCTAGATCCTGGCACCTGGCTCATTTTGGTATTTTTCTGAGAAGCTTTGACTCAAGTTTGCAATAAGAAGAAATGCATGTGATCACACAGGCAGTAAAAGTTTCTCTGAATTTGGAAGAGAAACATCCAAATTTTTGGATGTTTGATGGCATAGTCAAAAGGCACATTTATCACCATACCTCCTCTTCCTTCCTCCTTCTTCAGTCCTTTTCTTCCAAGAGGCTTCCCTAGTCATAGTAAAGGCACAGAATGGAAAGAGTGGCTTCATCAGCCACAGAAAGAGTAAACAGTGCTCATATTTAATGGCATAAATATTAAAAAATGTGTCAAAGCTATATTTTATAGCACAAATAAATCTTTCTGTAAACTGATCTTACATTCATTTATAGTTCATTGTTTTTCGTGCATAGAAGTAGTAAAAAATCCACTTCTGAGCTTAGTAAAGATATTTGGCTGACATCCAGGAGCATCTACCTGCACTGTTATGCTCTCTTGATTTTCAGTGTCTCTTGAGTAATTTCTCTCAAGTGCTTATGTGCCACTTTGTATTTGCTCATAAATTATGAGAGGAAGTTTGATGATCAGGTTCAAGATTAAAATGTAACCTAATGCTCTAGAAAGAAAATACACCAAAACTTCAAGAGTTTTTCCATGAAAAATGTTAGGTGGAAAACAAAAAAGGCTGGTCCAAAAACTTTCTTTTTTCAAAACCCTTTCTTTAATATTTGAGAAGCAAACAAAACATTGTGTCATGGGTTCCAGAATGGAGCACCAAAATTCCTTGTTTCATAAGGTCTTGGAATGGAAACTTATTCTGCTGAGGTTTTGCTACATAAAATATTTAGAAATAGACAATGTCAGAAGAAAATGTTTTGATTTTAATAAGCAAAACATCTAAACTGACCACAAAAATTTCCCTTTTCCCCCCCCTCTTTAATAAATGTCTTTTGTGGCTAACATTTCTTTTTAATAGCTGCTCTTTCATTCTTTTGTTGAATGATGGGCAAAACTGAAATCTGGACTTTTTCAAAAGATTAAATCTGTTTCTTCTATCTCTGGCTATGTAGAGGTCAGTGAAGCTGAGTATCTTGATTAACTCTCCTTGGTTTTCTTCTCTAGCTTTTTCTAGAATGTTTTTGGCTGTCATCTGTTCACTAACCTCTAACTTACGTTCCACTGTTTGCTGGGAGTTTCATGTGGGCGCCATAGGATGAAATGCCACAGTCCTCCACCCTTTATGAAGATATCTTGCTCTACTAAGGATGCTGTGTTAATTACAATAGTGTAATTCTTTGCATAGTGCCCAAAAGAGTGATTAGTATTCATAGAAGAGTGCAGAACACATGATTCACTTACAATCCACTTACAACTCTAAATAGGTAGAAGACCCCCTTGTGTATATTGTGATATCTGGTAAATTTTAGCTTGGTATGTCTTCAGAATGCTTGATGAAATGCAGTTCATACATTGTAGATGAAGCACCTTAAACTGCTTTTCTAATACACTTGTATCAGCACTGCTTAACTGCAGACCCTCTATCCAACATACTTCAGTTATTTTGCCACATGGGCCCTTACTTTCCATTTCTGCAGCAAATGCCCTGCAGAAAACAGTGAGGCAATTCTCTGGATATGTCAGACCCTTTGAGGAAAACCAGAGAGTTTCTCTTCTCCCTTCTTAAGGTTTACCAAAATGAATGTCATTTTAACACTAACCTTTTGAAAAAGACCACTTGTGTTACATGTGGTGCCAGAGACACCAGCACCACAACCCCTTGCACAGCCTGCTGCCTGAGACTGGGAGGAGGAGTTCTGGGTCAGTTGTCTTCCCTCTTCCAGTTACCTTCATCCAGCAGGAGATTGGCTGCAATTCAGAGAGCCTTTGGGGCTCTGAGGACTTTCAGATTTTCATTCCCTGAGGGAAACTGGTTAGCCTGCTGTGCTCAAAAGCTTTTCCCAAGTATATTTCTCTTCACCACAAACAGTGAAATTGCTCATCTTTTACCTCAGCAGAGAAAACACACCAGACAGGGTGTGTTTGGAGCTGCCAGACTGGGTCAGGAAGTTTGAGAATAAAACTAAATAAATAAGTTGAAAAGTCAACATCCTAACACACTTGAAAAATACTTGATGGACCATAAAGGTATCAAGAGACCTGGAAGAACTCTCAGGAGACTTGGCAAGAGACTTGGCTGAGAGCTGCATGAATGCAAACATGCCAGAACTGTGATGAGAGAAGCAATGAAAGAGAGTGAATTTATAAAAGGCAGGGGAGGGGAGGGTGGAAAGAGAAATTAAGAATAAGACATGGAGCCATCTGGGGAGCTGGCAAATAGGACAGGAAAAGATTTCAAAAACAAGCCAAGAGGAACACCATTAGCAGTGATAATAAAAGCACTTTCAGAAACATCTGGGGGACTTTGAAGCAATTAGTGAACAGAGGAGAAACATTAGGGAAAATGCCACTAGGAAAAAAAAAAGTGATAAGCCAGGTCAAATTTAATCATAACCAAGAAATGTTAAGTAAATAAAAAAGTGAAAAACCTTTGTGGTACACAAAGAAATATGTAATGGAGTGACATGCTACAAGAATGGGCTATCTTTTCAATGGCCTAAAAAAGTACTAGCACAATATTAATATTGTAAATATTTACAGTACTGTTATAGGTAATTACATAATTATAATATTTTAAATTAAAATATGCAAAACTGCATATATGGTTCTGACAAACAATGTAAGGATTTTGCTGCTCGTGTATTATACTTTTTGACATACTATTATGTTTCTTTTCAGATGCAAATGGGATCTAAATTTACCACTCAAAATTTTGGAAAATCCACACTGTCTCTGTTCAATTCAAGACAAAGACACTATCTAGTCATATCATAATATAACAAATTCTGTTTATAGTCATTTTACTATTTGCAAGATTCAGTTTTCAACCAGTATGTTTTTTTACTGGGCCCAGTCCAATCTCCGAATAACTGGATATTCAATCCTTTAATCAAGTCTCTAGGGCTCACTTGGCATTCAGCACTGAAACATCCCTAGGTTACACATAAAACGTAGAGTTATGCTATGTTGTCAGTAGCTTACTTGTTGAAATTCCTAACATAAATATTTCCCCAATTTTTTTTCAAAATCATAAACTTACATTAGGTTTCATTTGTCTAATTTTTAATGCTGTGGCACTGAACCCACCAGACTAAAATCTGAGTTACAAAAAGTAGGAAAAACACAAAAGAAACTCACTAAAATGAAATTATTTATGCAAGGAGCTTAAAGTAGATAGAATGGGTGTAAATTTTATTTTATAATTTTATTTCTATAATAACATTTAATGAAGTATTCAGAAGTGAGATTTGCAGTGTATACTGAAAAACAAGCTCCCAGCTCACACAAATATTTCAGATGTAGTTTATCCTCAACAATTTACCATTTTATTAGGGGTGTTTTACTATTTTGTTGTTCCAGGATCAATTCTTTGCAACTTACCAAAACATAACTATCCTCAATGTACAAGTTCATGAACAGCAAGCAAACAACAAGGATTCCTAAGAACGACACTGCTGATCGTTTCCGCAAGCATCTCATTTTATCAAAATATTTCAAGTAGTGTCTTGTGAAGAACTGCATACGGTAGTGTCACCTATGAAAAAAACCACAGCATTACAAGAATGGTCCACCTGATAAGCATGACAACAACTAAACTTACCTTCAGATGTATCAAATCCCTTCAAACTTATATAGACTGCACTTTCAGGCAGAATTGATTTCATTTAACCATTGTCATCTTCAGGTTTAATACACAATCTTAACTATAAACTAAGCTTCCTTATTTTTCTTTTTTTTTGGTGTCAATAAAGAAAAAAAACCATATACCCACTGTCATACCCATTTTAAAGTGGATTTATGATGGATGTCACTGTGGCAGAAGCGCATCAACAGTTTAGTTTGCTATGCTTAACTATCAGATCCCAGCTTGGTGGCTAGAGATGATGCTGTGCATTGTTCCCCCATGTACCTGTGTTTCCTCCCAACAACAGGCCAGGTCAACAGAAAAGGAGGAAATTATTGCATGACTCAGTGTTGTTACCAGTGGAAGAATTCTGTATGCCAGAGCTTCCAGGAACAAAAAGGTACCTTCCCTGAAGTGAAAAAGTATTAGCAAGACTGTATAATATCTCAGAGTTTTTCCATCAAAGTACAGAGGCCCAAGGTTAAGTGGAGGTATTATTTCCGTCTTCAGAAGAAAGGTGGGTCTCCGCCTTAGACCAGACACATCTAAGCAGATTATTGGGAAATTCTTACCAATCCGATTAGATAAACCAAATAAGGGTGGCACAGAGATCATGAATCCCCTCAGTATTTTTGGTCAAGATCAAGAAAGAGGACTATCTAGTCATATTCTAATGTTGCATATTCATTTTAGTCATTTCACTCTGGAAAACAAGATGAACACTGTTCTTGTCCACCAAATTGTAGCCCTAAACTATGTAGGACTGTATGTGTTGGAACAAGATTTAGCCCTAAATTAAAGATCTCACTTCCCAAACTCTGAGGGATTATTAACAAAACAGCAGACTATAAACTTATTATTTATGTATTATGTTCTTACTCATATTTTGATTATTTTCCACAGCAATTCATGATTTTTCAATTGAATTTAATCTATAGAAGTTATATACAAATGAAGACTTTAAAGCTAGCCTATGTGAAGTAGGAAAAGCCACAACACATGCAATGGTTAAAGCCTGCAGTTAAATACCTTCATTTTTGAAAGTGTTGAACATCTACAAAATAGGACATATTAGGAGTTCCATAAATGATTTGTCATGTCATATAGAAAATGTTCTGTCCTAATAATAAAAAATGTACCAAGCACAAAATCTAATGTATGTTTGTTTTGCTAAACTGAATAAACACATTTAATGGTATAAAATATGAGTCCATTGTACTCCAGAGAATCAGGAGGTAAATATATAAAACATTTGTAACGCAATTAGTAATTGCAAGGAATCTATAGACTTGAAATGAACTGCAGTAAATGGAGTCTGGTTGTACACAGAAAGCTTTTATATTCACTATGTTGAGAATAAAACCAATTTACAGGCTGCATGAAGAAGAAAAAGAAATCAGTAACAATGCATATTTTTGTTTGTCTTTATTTAGGGTGGGCTGAATTACAAAAACCTGATTATTCTGAAGCTGAAAACCCCAGTGTAGTTATTTTTTAAAGTTACATCAAAGATTTCATTTTTCTTAATGTCTAAGGACAGTGAAAATAAACCTCAGGGAGGAGGTGCTAGGGACATGAATCTCTAAACACTGTGCTTCCCTGTACCCCTGCAACCCCCTGTGACAGCACAGTGATTGCTAGTTGTCTGTGGATCCAGCAGGCTGTTGTGGAAATGAAAGGCTGCCCCTGTTTTAGAAAAGATTGTGTTACACATACGATTTGATTTTCATTTTTATTTCATTCTTTTTTTTTGTCCCCTTTTCCCCTCCCCCCTCCCTTCTTCTTCTCACAGTAGAATTACTGATTTTCAAACCACTACACTCTTTTAAAACCAGTCAGAGGATCGCTGGATGGTTTAAATACTGACAGTTCTCATATTAGGGCATTAACTATCCTGACTATTGAAAATGCAGTTAGTCTGGGTTAGAGTGCTTGCAGTCTCTGTCAGCATATTACATTTCTCTTGGGTAAAAACAACCCCAAAAACCAAACCAAAACAAAAGAAACCAAAGCAAACAAAAAAAAAAAACCACCACCACCACCAACAAAAAAACCCTCAAAAACCAACAAACAAAAAACCAAACCACAAACAACAAAAAACCAAAAAAACACCCCCCAAAACCCCCAAAACAAAAAAGCAACAAAACTTGGAAATAAATAAATAAATGTGGGGTTTTTTTCAGTCACAGGATGAATGTATATGACAGATTTCCTGGCTGGACTGTGGTGTTACGCAGGTCCCCCATCTTTGCCCTGAGCCACCTGTCTGAAGTTCCCAAGGATAAGGAAGGGACTTAGAACTCTGTTTCCTGGTCATGATGTATTAGATCATTCCTATGTTGGGATATACATTCCTGTGTATGTCTTATTCCTAATAGATCATTCCTATTGGGTTGGGAATAAATATAGAGGTAATTACATAGGTGAGGCTAGAGGAACTGTCACAACTAAAGCTGATGTACAGAGAGAGGGGGGCACAGTACAGTCACCACTCAGAGAGGACCCCCATTGCTAGTGCTGGTTGCACACGAAGCCATTACATCACTCTTCTGCACGTGGAAACATCTGGAAGCACAACATGTGCCAGCGGGGGCTTTTTGTTCATCCCATCTCTTGGTAGGTGCATGCCAGGTAAAGGCAGGAAAGGGAAGGACGCCCCAAGGAGGGCGCGCCCGGTGGATCCCGTCCCGTCCATCCCCGGAGGAGGCTGTGGCACCGCTGGTGACAGCAGGTGGCAGCGCAGGGTCGCCCGTGCCAGCCCCAGCCTGCTGCTCGCCGCTGTCCCCCAGCCGCAGCTCGGCTGGAGGTGCTGCTTGACATCTTGACATCCTTACACCGTAAGCCTTTGGCTAAGAACGCGCCCAGGACCATCCACATGTACATGCAGGATTCCTTACAGCTTCCTAGAGCTGCTTCCTCTTGCATCTCTGTATCCAGTCTGTGGATTGCATTGTGGAACACCACACCAGTGAAATTTGCACAGAAATATTTTTTTTTCAGATAATGTCATTCACCTTTTCAAAAATAGTCTCAGAATTTCCTGCAGTGAGACCTCTGATTTTCTTTAAGAACATGGGAGCAGAATATTCACCACTACTAAAAATCTTTGATATTGAAAAAAAGGTTTCCATTCATAATTCAATTCTGACAGCACAGCTTTGCTTGAAGATTTTATGCCTTCATTATTCATGCACAATTAAGTAGCTATCAGAATGGTATGAATACAATTTGTTTCATAAAGCTGGCATGAAGCAGTTAAACAAAATAATTAATAAACATGCATAAATTATAAATCTTTTCCTTTCTAGATGAGATGTGTTGCTTTCCTTAGTGTCTAGAGAGGGGTCTTGTAAGACCACAGATCTCCATGTGCACGTATGTGCTGCTATCAGACACACAGAGTTTTACATGGTACTGTGAAATTATAATTCCTTTGACTTTTTAAAACTATACATAGTGAAGAGGTGGTGAGCCAAAAAAAGCAATGACATACCTTTACAGTGGGTAGATGCTGTTCTTTATAGGATCTACAAAGGTATGAAGTCTGTGTAAAAGTTCAAGAATGGATTTTCACATGACACTGTGAGGTTTTCTCTTGTAGAATTTGCAACACTCAGAAGAATATTAACTTTTTTAAAAAAAAAAAGTAAATCTCAAATGACCATCTAGAAAGAGACTGTTTTTAATAGAGCAAGTCCTTGAAACCAAAAACTGAAATAAAAATATTTACATTTATGTCTATTAAAATTTTAAAACAAATTTCTATTTGGATTATTCCTAAGAGAAAAAATTACATAAAGCAAGATTTTTTTTTCTTATTTTCCTTTTTTCAGAGGAAAAAACTTCTTTATCATTGACAGAATAATTTCTCTAGGCCACATTCATGTACACTCACTGGTAAACCATTCCAGATTTGATCCATTCTAATTCTTCATCACTTTCTGATAATGCTAGGGATTTGTGCTTTGTCCTGCTTTTAGAGATTATCACTTACTTTCCTTACATCTTTCCTCCACAAACAGATACATAAAAGGCTTTGTGGTGCTACTTTACCCTTAAGGTTGCCTACACAAGTTAAGGACTTCACCTTACCTAACCAGTACTGTTAATCTGCTTCTATCTACAGCTGTGCAGGGGTGGAGCAACAACGTCATCTTCATATTATATTCTGGTCTGCTTGAGTGCTGTGCCCCAGCAGCTCAAGAAAAGTTGCTTATTTAGAGAGGCACTGATGGCCGTGAGAAATGGTAACTGAATTATTTTAATATTTTCAAATTAGGCATGTAGATTTACTTGTCACTGTAGAGTCCATATTCCAGGAGGTGGAGCTGATCCACTGCCACACGTATTATATGAGATAATACAGAAATATGACTGGATTATTAAAACCCTTGTGAACTTTATTGCAATCCCTTATTTGATAGAGACACTCGGAAGCAGGCACTTCATTCCTCAGTTTTGTGATATAACATTCTACCACTTACTGAACTGCTTAACTGGATGTTCTTAATGCTTGTCCAATGTGCTTTTCATTTTTTTCTTTTTGGAAGGCTGTACACAATACCTCAAGAATTACATTCACTTATCTTTATGAAGTCACAGAGGAAACATTTCTTAAAAAAAAAAAAAATAAAAAAGGGAAAAGCCCCAAAACAGACCAGATTTTTTAAATGGTTATTATTAGATTTTGCATGTACCATGATTTTCTTATGCAAGAATAACAAAAATGAATCCTAAATTTTGATGTAGAATTGAGCTGCAGAGGGTAGTGTACTAGAGAATTGTAATGGATAGGCAATTCCATTGGGCTCAGATAGACTCCCAGGCAGATTCACTGCCTTACTGAAAGCCTGAAGGTACACATAAAATGTTTAAGGCTGACAGGCAGGATGTTCGCTGCCACTGGCAGCAGGGGAATAAAAACTAGTTTGAAGGAAAGTTTAACGCTGAATGAGGCTAAAAAATCCAGAGGAACTCAGGTTTTAAACTAATCGTAAATAGATTGTGTAGCTACACATGCTTAAATAAATGGTTTGAAGATGATTATATCGTCTGAAATCTAGGTTCTAGATACAGGAGGTTGAAAAGTGGAGATCTATAAGGAGGCAGATTACTCAAAAGTGACACTGAAAAAAGGATGGGCTAAAGAAGTAGGTTTTAGAAAAGAATTTGAAAGGCATCATTATCCTTGATACACAGAAAGTGAGAGATTATTTCAAACACTAATGTAGCATACAGATATATACAGACCCCAACAGTTTTGGAAAAGGGATCAGAGTTTGGGAGGAAACAGATGATTCAGCTGAGGCAAATTACTGAACAATGCAGAAAAACAAAGAGCTTAAATTCAAAGCAGGTGTTGGTGGATGAAGTGTCTTTCCTGTCTGACAGCTTCAGAGTGATATAAAATGGAGTCAAAAACTCTAGCTGTAACATTCTGAGCAAAATGTAACACATTTCTTCTGGCGTGGAAGAGTCAAATCTAATCAAGGGGAAGAGATGACTATGACGTATGGAGTTGCATTGACTTAGATGGTACACCACTATCTAATCCATCATTGGATGGATGGCTGTATAATACTACATTTATTTTATCAACTGAGTTGTAGTGTAAAATGTGAGTTTTAGAAAAACTATATAGACAGTAAGT